TGTTATGCATGAATTACACATTTAAAAACCAGATTTATCACACTGCTCAAGTATCTTGAATCATAAACTAAAATTATTGTGATTTTGGTTGTTTGAGAGAAACTTTATCCGTTTTACATAAGTTATTTTTATATAATTTTGGCACCTTATGAACATATATTAAAAATTCTGCAAAATATCTTTAAAAAAGGATAAGAAGCAATATAAAAGTTAAGGGGAATTAATGTAAAGTTGAATTTGATAATTATTCTGGACCAATTGCTGCCTAAACTTAGTGTATGAGAGGAAAGTGGACTACAACCTTTAATCGAAAGTATGAAAACCAAGATAGTGTAGCCTTTATTGTGGTCAGGGTCTCCTTTTTTCTATAAAAGGAATTAGGCTTTGTCTTCGTAACTTGCTAATATTGTCAAAAGGACCTAGGGGAACGCATATTGTTCGGATTTCTCAGTATGCATGATAATTTTAAGAGTCAGACCGTGACTTTCTATATTCGTAGATGTTTGACCAACATTGAAGTCGGTATCGTCAGTGGACCTTTACATTCTTTGCACCAAAACAATGCATTAAAGAGACAAGAAAAGTCGATTCGTCAGCCAATTGTCTGCTAAACACTTCTAGTATTTATCCTTCTGTTCTCGAGTCTTCACATATCCTGTTTCCTTGTATCACCCCTTAAGTATCATAATTTCTTACTTGTTTATCAAAACCAAGTTAAGTCCTACTCGTAATTCCCACTAGTTAACCCATTTTCCACAGTAGGCTGTAAATGCTGAACTAAGACTGCAGTTTAGTCCGCAATCCTTAACCTTCAGGTTCAATCAACTTCTTGCTCTTAATTGGTAGGATCCATTTCTTATCTGCCTAGTTCAGTGATTTCACTCGATCATTGTCACCATATCTATACTACTCTAGGCGTTATGTTTAACAAACCTTTAATAAAACGTATACGTCAACTTTACTGAGCAAGCCTCCAAGGTTTGAATTCTCAATTCGCATGGAAACTTAGCTTGACGCTGCAGATTCCCTTATCATTGGGCGGCTTATGCACCGAGTATACATCATTCTAATGGATCATTTCTATTACTAAACGTATCTACTGACAACTATCTATCAATGGTCTCCGCCGCATCTCTTGCTATTCGATCCTTAATACTAAGTCTTTGACTTAAATATACACTATCTCTCCTATTCTTTAGTCTCTTGTTTACCAACCACCAAATGTTTCTAAGGCAAATCCGAGTCAGTTTGTCCAAATAGTCTTAGAACTCACTGTCCGTTAATCTAAAGCTTCTGCTCATCAATCTCCTCGTTATTCTTATCTTCATTATGTAGTCGTGATGAGGCAAAGAATTGTGAATTATTTCAGTATGTGATTTCTTTCTGAATATTCTCCTCTTGAGTGTCCCGAATGACCTCAACATCCAGGAAAGGTGGTCGCCCATCCTCCTATTCATCAGTTGTGAAGTTAATCCGTTGATAAATATGGCTCATAAAGCTGCCGAAATTACTCAACCTTTCCTTAGTATGCGACGAAAATGCGAAGTAGTTATCCAGGTATCGCATAAGTACTCCTTCTTGTAGCCGTGATTTATCGAATTCGCTTTCCAACATGCCCATGTAGACATTTGCCAAAAAAGATAAGAATGGAGATCCCATTGGTAGACAAAACATTTGCTCATAGCTATTGCCGTTGAATGTAAAATATCGGGTACATACTGTTAGGTTGATCAGTCGTGTTAACGACTCTCTCCTTTGGCACTTTGCTTTCAGGATACCCCAATTTGTTCCTAGATCTCCAGCATCGCGGTCACCGCCTTCTCACCTTACGGTTGTATGCCAAAACTTATAAATAGTTCTGTCGTCGCCAGCCTAATGTTCTGAATCCTTTTGAGAAAATTCACTTGAATTCCTCAAGGTGTTCGAGAGTTTGTCATTTACTTTCTCCAACTACAAGCAAATGAATATCACTAGCATGTGTTATGCTGAACGATTGCTACTGTATCCTAGCGGTTTTCATTCCTTGTTTATCTTCGGTAGTCCTCAGGCTCTCAGGAGCCTTGCGTCATTTTAAATTATATAATTTGTCATCCATCTGCAGCGTCAAGTTAAATTTCCATGCGAATCGAGAATTCAAACTTTGGAGGCTTGCTCAGTGAGGTTAGCGTATATGTTTTCTTAAGGGCTTGTTAAACATAACGCCTCGAGTAGTATGGATGCTGTGGCAACGATCAAGTGAAATTACTGAACCAGGCAGATAAGAAAGGGATCCTACCGATCAAGAGCAAGAAGTTAATAGGACCTGAAAGAAAAGGATTGCGGACTAAACTGCAGTCTTAGTTTAGCATTCACAGCCGACTGGGAATAGATGGGTTAACTAGTGGGGACTGCGAGTAGGACTTAACTTGGTTTTGATAAACAAGTGGCAAATTGTGATACTGAAGGGTTGATACAAGGAAACATGATATGAGAATACTTGATAACATAAGAATAAATACTACAAGTGTTTAGCAGACAATTGGCCGAAGAATCGACTTCATTTGTCTATTTTACGCATTATTTTGGTGTTAAGAATGGCAAGGTCCACTGACGATGCTGATTTCAATGTTGGGAATGTAGCAAGTCACGGTCCGACTCTATGGACTCCGGACAAGGCCATACTTCATTCAGAGAATATTCACATTAGAATGCATCCATGCTAAAATGAGCTCAATGATTCAATGGTTTGGCTGGCTTTCAATTATATGAAGTGTGTTTATTAAGGAAACTAATCTTATCAGAAAACTTTTCCGTATTTTCCTTTGTTCTGCCAATGTTTTACTTTAGTTTTGAGCCTAGGCTTAGATGAATATTCTGATATCCATATTTGATTCCATTTAAAGCATCCTGGGATATAAGTCCCCACATACAGTTCTATCTGCAAGCCAATTAAGATTTATATAGGAGTGCGCCAGCCTGACTCATCCATCAAAAGCAAGCAGCAATAGACCAAGATGTATCTACCAACATCTTTATTCGGTATCAACGTACCAAGCTCTACAAGATACACTTTAAGGCACAATGTATATTAATTAAAAGCTATTTTTTTTGCATTCAGAATATTTTCCCTTGAGATTGATCACATTTATCTTCTCGAGATCCAAAAGTGAGGTAAGTAATTGTATCATCTAATCAAATTCCAATGAACATAAAGAACACTTTACATTTTTAGCATTACGTCGTGCCTTATAAAGGTGCTAGGGCCGAGATTACATACTCTTCGATATTTTTAATTTCCATATTAAAGAACAATTAACGTATATCAGATTAAATACTTTCTGGAAATTCAAGCATCTTTTGAAAATAAAGGCTGACGAAAGAACAATTATAGAGAAATTTGGATCCTAATCACGAATATATACAAAATACTTTCGGCCTAATAGTTGAATTATACTTATTTGGCGTTCCCAGAGTTGAAGCGAATGTACATAAGATAAATATATTGGTTGCTAGCTTGGATTAGCAAGATGGATCGCATTACCAAGTCTAAATTGGCTACCTCCAGGAAGGTGAAACGTGACATTATTGGTACTTTAGATGTAGGCGCCATTGTTACGTAGACAAGTATCTGGATCCTAGTTAGATTAGTTGGAGTTTGCTTTCCATCTAGTTTTGCGCAGCCGTTTTGAAATGCCGGAATTCATATTATTTATTCAGAATATCAGATATGACTTACACAAATCTTTGTCTCGAATATGGCAAAACCATTACTTCATTGTGAAGGAGAACAGATTGCTTCATTTGTTCGCACGAGAGGTTATTCAGGCCGCTTCTTGTGAAAGAAACCAACTCACATTTGCGATTGGCTCATGAATTTAGATAAGCAGGCTATAA